TAAAAAGTCATAGTATAGTAAGGCATAAAAAGTCTTAACAATGACACAGTCTAGTAAGGCATAAAAAGTCATAGTATAGTAAGGCATAAAAATGTAATATTATAGTAAGTCATAAAGTCGTGGTATAGGAAGGCTTAAAAATTCATAATATTGTAAGGCATAAAAATGTCATAGTATAGTACGTCATAAAAAGTCATAGTATAATACTGTAAGTCATAAAAAAGTCATAGTATAGTAAGGCATAAAAAGTCACAGTATAGTAAGGCATAAAAAGCCAAAATATAGTAAGGTATAAAAAGTCATAGGCAAGACACGGAAATGCAAGTTTATTTGAATAGGACGTTATTGTACACAGAACTCATTAAGCACCAAAATGAGACAGTATAAAACAGTATAAAAACTGAGATTATTAAATACACAATGTGTAAAATTAAAATCTAGATGAAGGCAATGTATAGTACAGTAAGCCATAAAGTCATAGTATAGTAAGGCATGAAACGTCATAGCAAATTATGGCAAAAAATGATTTAGTATAGTGAGGCATAAAATGTCATAGTACAGGAAGCCATAAAAAGTCATAGTATAGTAAGTCATGAAAATATAATTGTATAGTCAGTCATAAAGTCATAGTATAGCATGGCAAAATAATCATAATATAGAAGGAATAAAAACGTCACAGTATAGTAAGGTATAAAAAGTCATAGGCAAGACAAGGCAATGCAAATTTATTTGTATAGCACATAATACACAGAGGACATTAAGCACAATAATGAAACAGTATTAAACAATATAAAAACACAGATTATCAAATACACAAAGTGCAAGATTAACATTTAGATGAAGGCAATAGTCGTATAGTAAGTCATAAAGTCATAGTATAGTAAGGAATAAAATGTCATAGTATAGACACCGCAATGTAAGTTTATTTGTATAGCACATTATTATGAACATCGATCTTTAGGCACAATAATGAAACAGTATAAAAAAAATGAAAAAACAAAGATTATTAAAAAACACAAAGCGTAAAAATGGCATAAAAAGTCATAAAAACCACATAGTATAGGAAGGCATAAAAACGTCATAGTATAGTAAGGCATAAAAAGTAATAAAAACGTAATAGTATAATTGGTCATGAAAAGTCATAGTATAGTAAGGAATAAAAAGTCTTTAAAACGACATAGTATAGTAAGGCATGAAAAGTCATAAAAACGACATAGTATAGTAAGGCATAAAAAGTCTTAAAAACGACACAGTATAGTAAGGCATAAAAAGTCATAGTATAATAAGGCGTGAAAAGTCATAAAAACCACATAGTATATAGTAAGGCATAAAAACGTCATAGTATAGTAAGGAATAAAAAGTCATAAAAATGTCATAGTATAGTAAGGCATAAAAAGTCATAAAAACCACATAATATAGTAAGGCATGAAAAGTCATAAAAACCACATAGTATAGGAAGGCATAAAAACGTCATAGTATAGTAAGGCCTAAAAAGTCATAAAAATGTCATAGTATAGTAGGGCATTAAAAGTCATAGTTAGGGGGGTCAGCCCTATGTTCCCATATTTCTTAGAACTTTTTTTCACAGAAATTTTTGAAAATTAGGGTTAGGGCTGTGGGAATTTAGGGTTAGGGCTGTGGGAATTTAGGGTTAGGGTTGTGGGAATATAGGGTTAGGGTTAGGGCTGTGGGAATATAGGGCTGTGGGAACATAGACACGCTCCCTAGTTAGGCATAAAAAGTCATAGTATAGTAAGGAAAAAAGTCATAGTAAAGCATTAAAAATGCATGGTATAGTAAGGTATAAAAAGTCATACCATAGTAAGGCATAAAAAAGTCATAGTATAGTAAGGCATAAAAAGTCATAAAAACTACATAGTATAGAAAGGAATAAAAAGTCATAAAAATGTCATAATATATTAAGGCATAAAAAGTCATAAAAACGACATAGTATAGTAAGGCATAAAAAGTCATAAAAAGTCATACTATAGTAAGGCATAAAAATGTCATAAAAACGTCATAGTATAGTAAGGCATAAAAAGTCATAAAAACGACAGTATAGTAAGGCATAAAAACGTCATAGTATAGTAAGGCATAAAAAGTCATAAAAAGTCATACTATAGTAAGGCATAAAAATGTCATAAAAACGTCATAGTATAGTAAGGCATAAAAAGTCATAAAAACGACAATAGTGTAGTAAGGCATAAAAACGTCATAGTATAGTAAGGCATAAAAAGTCATCAAAACGTCATAGTATAGTAAGGCATACAAATGTCATAGTATGATAAGTCATAAAAAAGTCATAGTATAGCAAGTCATAGTATAGTTAGGTATAAAAAGTCATAGTATAGTAAGGTATAAAAAGTCATAAAAACCACATAGTATAGTAAGGCATAAAAAGTCATCAAAACGTCATAGTATAGTAAGGCATATAAATGTCATAGTATGATAAGTCATATAAAAGTCATACTATAGCAAGTCATAGTATAGTTAGGTATAAAAAGTCATAGTATAGTAAGGTATAAAAAGTCATAAAAACCACATAGTATAGTAAGGCATAAAAAGTCATCAAAACGTCATAGTATAGTAAGGCATAAAAAGTCATCAAAACGTCATAGTATAGTAAGGCATAAAAAGTCATAAAAACGACATAATATAGTAAGGCATGAAAAGTCATAGTATAGTAAGGCATAAAAATGTCATAGTATGATAAGTCATAAAAAAGTCATACTATAGCAAGTCATAGTATAGTTAGGTATAAAAAGTCATAGTATAGTAAGGAAAAAAGTCATTTTTAGTAAAGCATTAAAAATGCATTGTATAGTAAGGTATAAAAAGTCACAGTATAGTAAGGAATAAAAATGTTACAGCATAAGAAGTCTTAAAAAAGACATGAAATGTTATAGTATAGTAAGGCATAAAAAGTCATATTATAATAAGTCACAAAGTCATAGTATAGTTAGGCATAAAAGTCATAGTATAGTAAGGCATAAAAAGTCACAGTATAGTAAGGCATAAAAAGTCACACCATAGTAAGGCAAAAAAGTCATAGTATATTAAGGCATAATAATTCATAGTATAGTAAGTCATAAAAAAGTCACAGTATAGCAAGTCATAAAGTCACAGTATAGTAAGGCAAAAACTTCACAGTATAGTGAGGCATAAAAAAGTCATAGTATAGTAAGGCAAAAAGTTATACTATAGTAAGTCTAAAAAATGTCATAGTATAATAAGTCTTAGAAAAAGACATGAAATGTTACAGTATAGCTTGACAAAAAAAGTCATAGTACAGTAAGGCAAAAAGTAATAATTTAGTCAAAGTTAAAGTATAGTATGGCATAAAAAGTCATACTATAGTAAGGCATAAAAAGACATAGTATAGCATGGCAAAAAAAGTCACAGTATAGTAAGGAATAAAAATGTCGTAGTATATTAAGGCATAAAAAGTCAGTATATTAATGGAAAAAAATTTCATAGTATATTATTTCAAAGTATACTAAGTCATAAAGTCACAGCATAGTTAGCCATAAAAAGTCATACCATGGTAAGGCTTAAAAAGTCATAGTATAGTAAGGCATAAAAAGTCATAGTATAGTAAGGCAAAAAAGTAATAGTATATTAAGGTATAAAAATTCATAGTATAGTAAGGCATAACAAGTCACAGTATAGTAAGGCATAAAAACGTCATAGTATAATAAGTCATAAAAAAGTCATAGTATAATAAGACATAAAAAGTTATACTATAGTAAGGCTAAAAAATGTCACAGTATAATAAGTCTTAAAAAAGACATGAAATGTTATAGTATAGTTAGGCAAAAAAAGTCATAGTAAAGTAACGCAAAAAAGTAATAATTTAGTAAGTCATAAAGTCAAAGTATAGTATGGCATTAAAAGTCATACTATAGGAAGGCATAAAAAGACATAGTATAGAATGGCAAAAAAAGTCACAGTATAGTAAGGAATAAAAATGTCATAGTATATTGAGGCATAAAAAGCCATAGTATATTAAGGCATAAAACGTCACAGTATTGTAAGGAAAAAATATGTCATAGTATAATAAGTCATAAAGTCATATTATAGTAAGACATGAAATGTTATAGTATAATAAGGCATAAAAAGTCACACTATATTAAGTCATAAAAAGTCATAGTATAGTAAGGCATAAAAATGTCACAGTATAATAAGTCATAAAAAAGTCATAGTATAGGAAGTCATAAAGTCATAATATAGTATAACATAGTATAGCATGGCAAAAAAGTCACAGTATACTAAGGAATAAAAATGTTATAGTATAATAAGTCTTAAAAAAGACATGAAATGTTATAGTATAGCTAGGCATAAAAAGTCATAGTATTGTAAGGAAAAAAAATGTCACAGTATAATAAGTCATAAAGTCATATGATAGTAAGACATGAAATGTTATAGTATAATAAGGAAAAAAAGTCATAGTATATTAAGGCATAAAAACTCAGTATTGTAAGGAAAAAAAATGTCATAGTATAATAAGTCACAAAGTCATAGTATAATAAGACATGAAATGTTATAGTATAATAAGGCATCAAAGTTACATAATACAGTAAGGCACAAAAAGTCATAGTATAGTAAGTCAAAGTCATAGTATAGTAAGGCAAAAAAGTCATAGTATAGTAAGGCATAAAATGTCATCATGTAGTTAGGCATAAAAAGTTAAGTAAACTGTTTTGGGGCTCCCTGCAGCCATTTTGTTCGCTTATGCCTTGGTGTGGCCTTGAAACAAATCCAACTCCATTTGTTCATTTCCAATAATGTAACCGATGGTGTCTTTCATTAAACCTTAATGACATCAGGGTTATGTTTTCAAACTTTCATCAGAGCACCAGAAGACATTACACAACAGTGTTTACAGTAGCAGTCTTCACGATGAGTAAACACAACTTCATGTGTCAAATTGGTTGATTTCCCCTTTAAATCACCATGGTGGTAAGAGATGTCCTCTTTTTGTTTCTCTCTGTGAATGGCAGGACCTGAGTGTCGCATTTTATAAGCATCTGGTGAAAGAGCCCGTGTGTGGAGAAGAGTCAGACAGGAGCAAAGTTCATCTCCTGGGCTTCGACCTGGACGAGGCTCTTATTCAGCGGGCTCAGCAGACCAACCCTCTGCCCAGCAGCATCTCCTTCATCCCTCTGGACATCACTACAGACACCAACCAGCTGCAGGATTACCTCAACCAGCGTAGCTGCTCCCGCTTCCACCTGAGTCTGTGCCTGGCTGTCACCATGTGGGTCCATTTAAACCACGGAGACTCTGGCCTGCTGCAGCTGATTTCACGCCTGGCCTCTCTCAGCCAGCACCTCCTACTGGAGGCCCAGCCTTGGAAGTGCTACCGCTCTGCGGCCCGGCGGCTGAGGAAGCTGGGACGCTCAGACTTCGACCATTTCAAGATGCTGAAAATTCGTGGGGACATAGCAGAACATGCCAGGGAGCATCTGGAGAGGCACTGCGGCATGGAACTCATCCGGAGCTTTGGCAGCACTGCATGGGATAGAAAACTGCTGCTATTCAGAAGGAAATGATACAGAGGGACAATGTCAAGTTTTCATCTGCTGCACAGGAACTGCAGGGAGATTATCAGGAAGACAAGATCAAGAGACAAATGGGGGAATGGGAGAAAATAGGGTTGAAGTAGCTGACTTACAGTATTTAACATCAATTTGGATAATTCATCATACAATAAATTTTTAAGATAAAGGTTAAAAACTTCAATAGTTTCAGCTTTTGAAAAGTGAAGATTTGTATTTCTTTATCTTAAGTGAGTATTCTTGGTTTCACAAAAGAAGCAAACCGAAGACATCCCCATGGGCTCTGGAGACTGAGGATTTTTTACATTTATTAAGTATCATTTTATGGACCCAACTATTAATCGAATGCATCAAGGAAACTGGCAGATTGATCTATAATGACAATTAGTACTTCAACTTACAATTATTCTCATTTATCTTTTAGTCTGAATGTCAGAAAGTAGTGAAAATATCCATCACAATTTCCAAGAGCCTGAGGTGACATCCTGAAATATCTTGTTTTGTCTGACCAATGTCCCAAAACTCCCAAGATATTCATTCAGCATTGATATAAAAGTGAGAGAAAAGCAGCAAATCCTCATGCATACTGAATAAGCTGGACTCAAAGAACCCTTTGCACAAAAAAAATGAAATAATTTGATCAGTCAGTTATCAAAAGTATTGCCAATTCAACTGGGAGTTACAGCTCTAGAGTAAAGCCAAACTGGCAGCTGTAGCTATTAACATTTAAACGATATTTATAGCTAAAACTGGAAGTAAATTATTTGTAATTCATTTAAAAACACTTGACTGTAATTAAACTGCCTCAACACTGAATTATTTTATTAAAATAACTGTTTTAACTGTTCACTTTATGAATGCGCAATCAGTACCGTGCAGATTATATAATAAAACACTGTTTTTTCATAATAAAGCGGCAATTCCCTTCTTTATCAGCTGACTGAACCACAGTGGTCAATAAAGAATAATTAAAAACTTAAGCTCAGCATTGTAATTTTCATCATTTTAATTACAGAATACTAAAAATAACATTACATAAAATGTCTTTTTAAAAGAAACCATTGAATATTACAAAGGTTGTAAATTTTGTAAAGTTAGGATATAAAATCTTTGAACAATGGTGCATAATTGAAAAGAAAAATAATTTTCATAAAATGTATATATTAACTGTTCTACTACATAAAAAATGAGATGGACACAAATTGCAGACAGATGAGATGAGCAGACACCGCCATTACCGCAGTGATCTCTCCTTTTGAAGGAAGAAAGACTTGAGATGCACAGCACACACCACAATCAGCTTAAGTTCTCAAGTTATGTCTATGAAAAAAAGGGGGGGAAAAAAAAAAAAAAAAAAAAAAAAAAGGAGGGGTGTGAGGGTTTACATTTTACAACAGAGGAAAAACAAACGAGCTCAAGAGACTACAAAAAGTGACTTGGTGACTGCTCCCAATATTCACACATCTCAATGGGTAAAAACCCGACTAAACTGGCCTTGGTTCCATAAACACATACCATTTTCCACAGGTTTAAGCTGTACAAAGAGTAGCAAAATTTTGAGAAACCTCATACTTAAATCATTCCACCAAGACTGGGAATTAATGATCAGTTGTCTTTCAGTCTCCTCATACAGCCATTCCTATATCCTACTGTACAACTGGTCAGTCAGATCCACTGAAAGCTACCATGGTCACATAATTCATATCAGGAGGTCAACCTTAAGGAACTGGAATAGACTATACACAAGGGGAGGGAGGACAGGGGGGGCATGCATAATCCAACAGTGTGCTTGCTTTCTCACTCTTCTCTCCGAGTTTCACATCATCCTGTGGCACATCAATGTGAGCCCTTGTTAAGATGTTTCAGTCAACACCACAGAATCACTCCAAAAGAATCACCAATCGAGGACATTCAGCGCCTCTTTGAACCGCAGAAGTCTCTCTACATGTAGGACACACTGGCCAGTCATGTCCAAACAGAGGTATTTCATTAGTCTCCTGCCGTTTGGGAGACGCATTGTGTCACATTTTTGGTAGACAGACACAGAGTTTGAAGGTAAGGAAGGTGAGGGTTGGGGTTGGTCAACAGTTTGTTAAGGTGTTGTTTCAAAAATGTCAAAGATATGGTTTTAATCAAGAGTTATGCTGAGTGGCAGAATCACTGTTCCTTCTATGCAGTAGTAGTGGTTTCAGTGGCCCATGAAGGCCAGGTGGAGAAATGCAGAGAAAACGAGTGAATAAGAGAAGGTAGAAGGGAAACAGACAATAACCCAGAGGACATCTCAGAAGACGAAGCATGTCTGAGACAAGAGGCATTTGGGAGGAAATGAGGTGAGAGACACCAGCAGAGCTACTTGGTTTGGCTGGTCTGTTGCTCAGACAGCTGTAGTTTTGTCACCAGGGATCCAGGAGCTGCTGCTTATCATGTGAGCTAATAATGCTGTTTAGGTTCAGATGAGTCCCCCTGAGTTAGTGCACACGTCAGAGTCAGGCAGGCCTCGCCCGCTTGTTCGTTAAGAAATCCACAAAAAGAAGCAATAAGGAATAAAAAAAAAAAAAATCAATTCAGCAATTTCATAATCAAGCTTACAGTGAGCTTTGGAGAGAAAAAGCTCGTTGTAGTTTTACAAGTCTGTGATTGGGGAAGGATTGAGTCAATGTCGTTAGTGTGGAGGGTGAGAAAAAGTTCAGGCGAAAATACGGCAGCTCCCACAAAGCGATGCAGCCGACCTCTGAGTCCTGCTCATTTCCTGAAAACTCTTGAGAAGTATGCATTTGTGTGGTGAATGTAATGTGCGCTATGTAGTGCCCAACCAGAGACTGGGTTGTGTTTGTTTGAGCATGCCCATAATTATACTGTAATCTGAACATCTGACATGATTCTCAAGTGGTTGTTGGTGCAGGTCTGCCCAGCAGGTGAGTGGTTGGGGATCTGGTCAGGTGCTGGTGTTGCAGGTTGCGCTGACTGTGCTTCAGTCACACAGACAGGTAGGTAGACAGGCAGGTGGGCTGTAACAGGAGTTGGGTGCTGAGGCTAGATCAAAGGAGCCGTGTCTATCAGGCCTTTGTTGGGGTCCAGGCTGGCAAAGAAGCGGACGTCCCTGTCCTTGTCGGACTGCAGAGCCATCACTGTCTCTTCCAGCTCATCAGAGTAGGCGCAGCCTGGCTCCTTGAAGTACGCTGTAAACCATATACAGGACTCCGTTAGTAAAAGTAAAAACCTACCAGCAACAGGGTGTGTGTAAGAGAAAAGGGACAGAATATGTGCTACAGCAAGAATAAGTAACTAAGTAAATAAGTAACTTTTGAAAGACGTAGTAACACCCAATGATAAAACGCACCCTGTTGAGTTCAGTACACTTCAGAGTTACTTTTCTTGGTCTTTTTTTTTTTTTTAAGTAGGTCATTGACTTTGTGACTCTTCTCTGCTTGTACTACTCATGTACTATATTTACCATTTACCATTATCCCTTAATAGCTTCCTGTGGCCTCAGAGGCTTTTGTTCCGTGCATTAAAGTCATAGCTCAACATTTTGGAAATACACAAATTCACTTTCTTGCCCAGAGTTTGATGAGAAAATTGACACCACTCTCATGTCTGTGTGTTAAATATGGACCTTGAGTCAGAGGTTGATTAGCTCAGCTTAACATAAAGACTAGAGGCATATGAAAATGTAAACATAAACAAAATGTAACAATCCCTTTAAATATATGTCAGTGAGTTCATTTGCATTTTACATTTCTCCATGACACTCTGTCGTAGCGCCTTGGCCACCAGTACGCGGACATTAGCCACTGGGTCTGAAGAGAGGCTGAGCAGGCTAGGCAGGAGGTGCTGGCTGAACTGGTCCATAGGCATACAGTCCTCCTCCACTATGGCCTAAAATGTAAGGAAACATAAAACGCAGTCACTCAAACAGGTTGGTGTGACAGACAGGTATTTTCACACATGGGAGAAAAACAGTCACGTTCTTATCGGTCATCAGGTTGTCTAACATGGTCATTACATAAGAAAACAACCAGTGTTTTGTCTGTATCCATGTAGCAATACTGCAGGATGGCATAAAGTAGCACTAAATTTTACATTCACTTCTAGAATCTCAAACCTTAAAATGTATGTTTTTAGTGAGAAATTTAAAGGAAATAGCATTAAAATGTAGTTGAAAAACAGCTGGGGAGACGGTGCAAAAGCTGAAGTTTCATCATCTCAATCAAAATAATGAGAGATAAACACAACAGACCTGGCAGATGAAGGCAAAGGCCTGCCTCCCCACCCACTTGGGACAGTGGCAGAACCTAACGGTGAGCTCGTTGATGAAGTTCAGGCCCAGATCATCAGCACCACAAGCATACAGCTTCTGGAGGATCTCTACAACCTGAAAACGCATTTAAAGTTGTTTAAAGGAATAGTTCAACATTTTAGCAAATACACTTATTTTCTTTATTGGCGAGAGTTAGTTGAGAAGATTGATACCATTTGCAGGTCAGTGCAGTAAATATGAAGCAACTGCCTGCAGCCTGCTAGCTCAGCTTGGCTAGACTGTAAACAATGGGATATGGCTTGTCTGGCTCTGTCATCTCTACATCTCACTAATTAACACATTGTATCTCATTTGATTAATCCATAAAAAAACATGTAAAAATGCTGTACTGTCCTTTAATGGTTAGTTATGTGCCGGACTTTCTTGGAATAGCGGAGTGCCTTTCTGGGGTCTCAGGGAACCAAATGAAAGTCTATCTCATCAGGAATATGAAGATTAACCAAAATGTTGAATTATTCTGTAAACAAATGACAACTTAGCAGGTGTACAAGTGCCCTCCAAGTGACTGCCTAACTACTGTCCAGTGCCCTCGTAGACATGCTGAGATGATCAAACTACCACCTGTCAGGGGATTACTTTATCTCACAACAACACACACTAATCATCATCCATCTGTGTGACTCATTTCCCTTTTGTTTAGAGTTTTCCAGTGTTTTTGCTGACCCAACCATCTGGCACAAGCTGCCAATGTATTTCCTCACCAGATGCTCCCTATACCAGAAGAAAAAACCCAAATCATACTATCTGCTGTAAACTTACCAGTTTGTATGAGATCCACCTGACCTCTGAGACTTTGTCAGAGCAGAGTGTGAGTGCTATCTGTCTGAGGTAGTCATACACATCGTAATGGCTGTACAACTCTATGATCAAGATCAGCTGCCTGGAAGGAGACAGGGATGGAGCAATTAACATATTAAATACCAATAACCAAAATAAAATAATCCACAATTTAAAATAGTCTATTATGGAAAGAAATTAGTAACTGTTTTGTTGAAACTGACAGTAGATTGACTTCACAATTAAATCTAACCAATACACTATGCTACAAGAGAAGAATTCAGTACTGCCATTCTGTTAATGAGCAGGACACTGATTGGAAGTCAGTCTAGATAAGAGTCTGCTAAAAATGTAAATGTAATTATTTCCAAATTCCTTCCTGACTAGAGGACGAAAAAGGAGACATACTCTGCCAGCTCGTATCTGAATCTCCAGTTGCGACTGTTGTCCGTCACCATGAACTCCTGCAGCTGGTACAGATATTCTCTCCTCTTGTCTGCATGCAGCAGCTGCAGCAAAGAAATGCACATAAACCAGCTTGATTATCTAGTGTTACCTGTAAACCAACTATAATTTTCTTCATCAAATCACAGAGCTGTTGTTGCATCTGAGTAATATTTAAACAGTATATGTAAAAAAAAAAAGAAAAAAGACCAAACTTACTAATCTTACCCTCAAAAATTGTTATCACTCTTGAAACAGCAGCAGGTGAATCTATAAACATATAAATTTATAAACTTACCTTGAGGAAGTCATACAGGTGTTTGAGCACACCAATGCGGACCTCGTCCAGGTCTTTGAGGAAACCGTTGAAGATAGGGACCAGGTCAGCTGCCGTCAGC